AATGTTGGTTTCTTGTTGATATGATAGCATCTTTGCTAATTTTGAAAAATGATAAATTTTTCAGGACTTAGTCATAGTTTTTGCTTCTGGCGAATATGGTGGTCTTTTTTTACTTCCCTAAAGTGAGAAGTTTTATTACATTGAGTTGATGTTTTGTTCCTTGTGAATTTGATCTATAGAACTATGATGTAAGTGGTGAGTATACTCACCACTTCTAAGAAGTAATTGTATTTTCAAAAATCTGTCGATGCTTTTTTGCGACTGTATACTTGCTATTGTGAAACATAATTAAATGTTTATTATTGAGTTGAATTTGATATCTTGCGAAGATGATAGTATACTTGCTACTTCTGAAAACTGATAATTTAATCATAATCAGTTCAAATGTTAGTTTCTTATGGATATGCTGGCGTACTTTCTATTTCTGTAAATGATTAGTTTTTTAAAAGCGAGTCTAAGTTTTTGGCTTGCGAATATGATTATGTAATTGTTTTCTTAAAAAGCGTTAATTTTTAATACTGAATTGAAATGGTGATTTCTTATGGATATGCTGGCCTCTTTACTATTTTTGATAAATGATTACTTTTCAATCTTTTGTGATCGAAATTTTGGTATCTTGCGAAGATGATGATATACTTAGTACTTCTGAAAACTGATCAATTTGAAATACTGAGTTAACGTGTTGGTTACTGGAGATATGTTGGTAAACTTTCCTTTTTGAAAAGGAATTTTGTTTCAAACTGAGTGCAAATCTTAGTTTTTTTTATGAATATGATAGTATACTTGCTAGTTTTGAAAAACGTTTTCCAGAATTTAGATCTGTTTTGATACTTATTTGAGTTGTTTGCTTCTTATGAATCTAGAATTGAGTATAGAAATTGGAAAATGAATAGTTTTCAATTTCTGAGTTGAAGTGTTTGTTTTTAGTGAATATGATGATATACTTGCTACGTCCGAATAAGAATTTTTTTTCATGAGTAATCGAATTTTTGGTGTCTTTTGAAGATGATGATATACTTGCTACTTCTGAAAACTGATTAATTTTCAATACTGACTTGAATTGTTGGTTTCTTGTTGATATGATAGCATCTTTGCTAATTTTGAAAAATGATAAATTTTTCAGAATTTAGTCATAATTTTTGCATCTGGCGAATAATGTGGTCTTCTTCTACTTCCTTAAAGTGTCAAGTTTTTATAACATTGAGTTAAAGTTTTGTTTCTTGTGAATATGATCTATAGAACTATGATGCAAGTGGTGAGTATACTCACCCTTTCTAAGAAGTAATTGTATTTTCAAAATTTTGTCGATGCTTTTTTGCGACTGTATACTTGCTATTGTGGAACATGATTAAATGTTTATTATGAGTTGAACTTTGATATCTTGCGAAGATGAAAGTATACTTGCTACTTCTGAAAACTGATAATTTAATAATACTGAGTTGAAATGTTAGTTTTTGTGGATATGAGGGTAAACATGCCTTTTTGAAAGTGAATTTCTTGTTCAAATTGAGCCGAAATATTTGTTTCTCGTGAATATGATAGCTTACTTGCTTATTTTGAAAAATGATAAATTTTTCAGAATATTGTCATAGTTTTTGCTTCTTGGAAATATATTTGTTTTAATGAGTTGTTTGCTTCTAGTGAATATAGAATTGAGTATAGAATTTGAAAAGTGAACAGTTTTTAATTTCTGAGTTGAAGTGTTTGTTTTTAGTGAATATGATGATATACTTGCTACGTCCGAATAGTAATTTTTTTTCATGAGTGATCGAATTTTTGTTGTCTTTTGAAGATGATGATATACTTGCTACTTCTGAAAACTGATTAATTTTCAATACTGACTTGAAATGTTGGTTTCTTGTTGATATGATAGCGTCGTTACTAATTTTGAAAAATGATAAATTTTTCAGAACTTAGTCATAGTTTTTGCTTCTGGCGATTATGGTGGTCATTTTTTACTTCCCTAAAGTGAGAAGTTTTATTACATTGAGTTGATGTTTTGTTCCTTGTGAATTTGATCTATAGAACTATGATGTAAGTGGTGAGTATACTCACCACTTCTAAGAAGTAATTGTATTTTCAAAAATCTGTCGATGCTTTTTTGCGACTGTATACTTGCTATTGTGAAACATAATTAAATGTTTATTATTGAGTTGAATTTGATATCTTGCGAAGATGATAGTATACTTGCTACTTCTGAAAACTGATAATTTAATCATAATCAGTTCCAATGTTAGTTTCTTGTGGATATGCTGGCGTACTTTCTATTTCTGTAAATGATTAGTTTTTTAAAAGCGAGTATAAGTTTTTGGCTTGCGAATATGATTGTGTAATTGTTTTCTTAAAAAGCGTTAATTTTTAATACTGAATTGAAATGGTGATTTCTTATGGATATGCTGGCCTCTTTACTATTTTTGATAAATGCTTACTTTTCAATCTTTTGTGATCGAAATTTTGGTATCTTGCGAAGATGATGATATACTTGCTACTTCTGAAAACTGATCAATTTGAAATACTGAGTTAACGTGTTGGTTACTGGAGATATGTTGGTAAACTTGCCTTTTTGAAAAGGATTTTTGTTTCAAACTGAGTGCAAATCTTAGTTTTTTTTATGAATATGATAGTATACTTGCTAGTTTTGAAAAACGTTTTCCAGAATTTAGATCTGTTTTGATACTTATTTGAGTTGTTTGCTTCTTGTGAATCTAGAATTGAGTACAGAAATTGAAAAATGAATAGTTTTCAATTTCTGAGTTGAAGTGTTTGTTTTTAGTGAATATGATGATATACTTGCTACGTCCGAATAGTAATTTTTTTTCATGAGTGATCGAATTTTTGGTGTCTTTTGAAGATGATGATATACTTGCTACTTCTGAAAACTGATTAAGTTTCAATACTGACTTGAATTGTTGGTTTCTTGTTGATATGATAGCATCTTTGCTAATTTTGAAAAATGATAAATTTTTCAGAATTTAGTCATATTTTTTGCATCTGGCGAATAATGTGGTCTTCTTTTACTTCCTTAAAGTGTTAAGTTTTTATAACATTGAGTTAAAGTTTTGTTTCTTGTGAATATGATCTATAGAACTATTATGTAAGTGGTGAGTATACTCACCACTTCTAAGAAGTAAATGGATTTTCAAAAGTCTATCGATGCTTTTTTGCGACTGTATACTTGCTTTTGTGAAACATAATTAAATGTTTATTATTGAGTTGAACGTTGATATCGTGCTAAGATGATGGTATACTTGCTACTTCTGAAAACTGATTAATTTTTAATACTGAGTTGAAGTGTTGGTTTTTTGTGGATATGATGGTAAACATGCCTTTTTGAAAGTAAATTTCTTGTTCAAACTGAGCCGAAATATTTGTTTCTCGTGAATATGATAGCCTACGTGCTTATTTTGAAAAATGATAAGTTTTTCAGAACATTTTCGTAGTTTTGCTTCTTGGAAAAATATGTTTTCATACTTGAGTTGTTTACTTCTTGTAAATATAGAATTGAGTATAGAAATTGAAAAATGAATAGTTTTCAATTTTTGAGTTGAAGTGTTTGTTTTTAGTGAATATGCTGATATTTTTGCTTCTTCTTAGGTGTGAATATGTTTTTTATAACTCATCGAGTTCTTAAATCTTGCGAGGATGATGGTATACTTGCTACTTCTGAAAACTGATTAATTTTGAATACTGAGTTGAAGTGTTGGTTTTTTTGTCGATATTATGGTAACCATGCCTTTTCGAAAGTGACTTTCTTTTTCAAACTCAGTCGAAATATTTGTTTCTCGTGAATATGATAGCATATTAGCTAATTTTAAAAAATGATATTTTTTTCAAATTTTAATCATAGTTTTTGCTACTTGCGAAGATGATGGTATTTTAACAGAAGATATATGTTTTAAAACTGATTTGAATTGTTTGGTTCTTGTGGATATAGAATCGAATATAGAAATTGAAAAATGAATAGTTTTCAATTTCTGAGTTGAAGTATATGTTTTTAGTGAATATGATGATATTTTTGCTTCTTCTTAGGTGTGAATATGTTTTTTATAACTGATCGAGTTCTTGGCGTCTTGCGAAGATGATGGTATACTTGCTACTTCTGAAAACTGATTAATTTTGAATACTGAGTTGAAGTGTTTGTTTTTAGTGAATATGATGATATACTTAATACGTCTGAATAGTAATTTTTTTTTCATGAGTGATCCATATTTTGGTGTCTTTTGAAGATGATGATATACTTGTTACTTCTGAAAACTGATTAGTTTTCAATACTGAGTTGAAATGTTCAATACTGTTTAATTTTCAAACTGTTTAATTTTCAATACTGAGTTAAAATATGCTGGCATACTTGCTCTTTTTGAAAAAGCTTATTTTTCAAATTCTGAGCTGAAGTATTGGTTTTTTGTGTGAATATGATGAAATACTTGCTTCTTCTTAGGTGTGAATATATTTTTTATAACTGATCGACTTTTTGGCGTCTTGCGAAGATGATGGTATACTTGCTACTTCTGAAAACTGATTAATTTTCAATACTGAGTTGAAATGTTGGTTTCCTGTGGATATGCTGGCATACTTGCTTTTTTGAAAAATGCTTATTTTTCAAATTCTGAGTTGAAGTGTTTGTTTTTTGTGAATATGATGATATACTTGCTTCTTAGGTGTGAAAATAGTTTTTATAAGTGATCGAGTTTATGGCCTCTTTATGGTATACTTGCTACTTCTGAAAATTGATTAGTTTTTTTAATACTGAGTTGAAGTGCTGGTTTCTTGTGGATATGATGGTTTTCTAACTACTTCTGAAAACTGATTCCTTTGAAAACTGAGTCGAAGTGTATATTTCATGTGAATATGAATGATGGTACATCTGAGAGGATATTTCTATGAATTTAGTTGATGTGATTGTCTTGTGTATTTGATCACGCAATGTGCTTCTACTTCTCAGGATCTTAGTTCGAAATACTTTTTTCTTTTAGCTGTTGATCCAAATTTTGTTGCTTTAGGAAAGAAACGAGGCTTCGCATTCGTGCAATTTGAGACTCGAGAGCAGGCTGTGAAAGCTGTTGAGAAATTTCAGGCTCACGAGTTACGTGGTGAGTATTTAGAGGTCTTTTAACTAATTCCACTTTTTGCAAAGGGGTTTTGAGATATTTGTTTTAAGGTACGAAATTCACATATGCTTAATCGTTAAATCAGTTGTTTATGGGAAGATTCATTAGTGGTTACCATAATGGGCGAGGAATAGTTAAAGAGATTCGAATCGTTTTTGGCTTAGCTCAGAAACAATAGATTGCATTTGTTTTGATATTTGATTAAGAGTAATGAACGTAAAAAAAAACATCAAGACCTATATAAGAGTACTAACTACGTTCAGGAAAAAGTCTTAATATTTGTTCATGCTCGCTCAATTGTGATTTTTCGCGGTTTGAATTTTAATTTCTTTTTAAGTTCAGTTAATTTCCTTTTTAAAAGGATGGCAAAGTGTAAAGGTGTAAAGGAACAGTGTAAAGGAACAGCAAAAGTGTAAAGGTCACGAAAAACGTGATTGACTTCTCGTTTCATAAATGGAATTGATCAGTTTTCGCAGCGGAAAATTACCTACTGATCCAGTTTTCTCAAGTTAAGTTAATTTTATCAAAACACCGATCATAAACTGTGCTTGAAATTCAAAGAGTTTAAGGGCATATATTTTTTCTTAACAATTTGAAGTGTTTTTTTTTGTTTCCTTGCGTTCATTGCTCTTTTCCATGAGTCAATTGGCTGTTTTTCATCGATATTTAACATGAGAAAGGGTTCCAAATCATTAATTGATAAATCTGCATCATTTCTTAGTACTCTAATTGTATAACAATGTTTATTTCAATTGCATTAGGGCGTCCCATGGCAGTAGACCTATCGGTCCCAAAAGACATACATCTCAGACATGGTCATGGTCAACATAATGGCCGACTTCTGGAGCCAGAAGACGGTTCCTATCACGCCTCCTCATGTACAGATGAAAGATTGAGTAGGATTGAGAATTGGAACACCAAGCAAAATGGTGCAGCTGATGACGAGGACAGTGATCAAAATGACAGTGAAGAGAATGAAAACTGTGAAGAAGATGAGAATTCGGACCTGGATGATCGGGAAATGATGTCTGAAGATGATGGAAACTCGGACGAAGAAGGTGAACAAATTGAAGACGACGATGATAATGATGATGAAGAAGAGGCTGCAATGATGAAGGCGAGGAGAAAGAGAGTGGCTGAAAAGTACAACGATGTGCAGGAGGGGAAAACAGTATTTGTTAAGTAAGGAGGAGTAAGCTTGTATTTTCAAATACGAAAACCTATTATCAATTGAAAGCCGATCGTTATGAGCATAAAAAATCCGAAACTTTAGCAGACGCATTTTAAATTATCGAACTGAGCAAAATATTGAGTCCACTTACCCGTAAACATACAACCAAGTTCATACTTACGCACCCGAATTGTAAAAAAAAATACAAAATAAAAGTTCGTACCCAAAGTTTTGGAGTAAAAACTCAAAATCTGAAAGGGAATGATCGTGAATCATTTTTCCTGTAAGAGAGCAGCCGTAACTGGAAAATTGGCCAGATCTGCACTAGCTAGTTCAATATAAATATGATAGGTTTGGATCTATTCCCATTTGTTAAATTTGGAATATTATGGAGTAATTAATGTGGTTTGGTGTAGAAACCTTCCTTTCCGGTCTGGTGATGCAGAGCTGAAAGAGATCTTCTCTCGATTCGGAAAAGTGAGCATGGCCAAAGTTGTCCTGGATCACGAAACAGAGGAATCGAAAGGTGGGTTCCAACTATGGAAAGTATGCAATATTTGAAACCTAGTTCCTACTTACTCTATTGATTTAATTGATTTTTCCAGGTTGTGGGTTTGTGAAATTTGACGACGCAGAGTCTGTCCAAAAATGTCTGGATAAACTGCAGCGAGGGAATGTAAGTAGTGTGCAACATAATTTTTAAATTATTTATTCAAGATAAGTTACTTGAGAGCAGCGGACAGTGTTTTTTTTTGAATGATTCGGACAACAGAATCCGGACAGGCTTCTGCGGTTTGATTTTTGATTTTTTTTTCGGTTAAACTCAAATTAGTTGTTAAAAGGAAGGCAAACTCCACTATCGAACAGTCAAAATGTAAAGGTCGCGAAAAATGTGATCGACTTGTAATTTCGAAAATGGAAATTAATTATCACATTTCCCTGCGAAATATAAGTTTTGCCTATTGATCCAGTTTTCTCAAATTGGGTTAATTTTAACCAAAAAGTGTCCATCATAAATTGTTCTACAAATTCAAAGAGCTTTGAGGCATCAATTTTTTTCTTCGAAATTCAAAACTTGAAGGTTTTTGAAAAAACAAGTCAGTTTTTTTTTTCAGTTACCTTGCGTTCTTTACTCTTTTCCAACTGTCAGCTGGCTACGTTCAAAAAAGTGTCAATCACAAATTGTTCTGAAAATTTAAAGAACTCAAAGGCCGTTTTTTTGAAGTTCGAAAGTTGAAGTTTCTTTCGAAATTTCAATTTTCGAATTGAAATTTTGAATATTCCTGCTCAGTAATCATTCCATTCTAATTTGAATTCTAGCAAGCTATTCGGTCTCTCTGAAGTGTTTGTAGCCAAAAAAAATCACTAGGTACTTGACATTGCGTGTGCTGAGAAATTTAAAAAATAACTTTTATCAAAGTTGTTTGTTTTTGAAGGAAATGCGTATCGCCTCAGTAATATTTCGTTTTTTTTTTAACCTAGATTTTTTTTGTGTATTTTTATACCATCTGACATATTGTTGACCTGAGCTCAAAATTAGTTTCTTACTTGTGGATGTTGAAATTTTTTAATTTTGCTAATTGGGGCAATAAATGTGCACAAATTTTTAGTTTGCTTTTAGCGCTTAGCGAATTAAAGTGGCTCATAAATCGTTCTATATAGAATTGAGACTAGCTAATTATTCCAATTGTTTAGGTAATATCCGCAAATTTTATCTTTTTGTTTTGAACGGCGTGTGAAGAAATATTAAATATAATGAAATTCCATATAAGCATGGGTATTGCAATCGAGAGCTAGATTTTTTTCCCTTTAACAATTTTGTTCACAGAATAGACGAATTGAAATGATATTCATTTCAATAGCACCATGGTTAGTGTAGTGTGTAGTAGGTGCATGTTAGGTATGAGATTTGGGTTCCTGTTAAGAGTTTTTTTTGTGCCGAAATCTTTCGGCAGAATTTCCGTGCTGTAAGAGGTCAGCTTTAATTTCGTCTGCTTATTTTTTTCTAAATAGTTTACCAAATTTGGGTTCCTGTTAAGAGTTTTAGAGAGGTTTTTTGTGCCGACAATTTTCGGCGCTGGAAGAGGTCAGCTTTAGTTTCGTTTGCTTATTTTCTGAATAGTTTATTTTTGATTAACTTTCTTTGGTATTATGTGGGAGTGATTGATTTCTTATATGAAATTTTGGAAAAATTTAAATAAACCTTCTAGACTCTTCATTTTTTCAGTACAATTTTTCAAAAATTTTTTTGTTTGCTCAGTTGAATTAACAGAATTGGTTCAATTTTTTGTTGTTTTTGGTTAGTTGATCGGCTGTAGAGTTAAAGTTTTCGGTAATTTTGTTCAAAATTGCTAGATACATTCGTCCTCTTTTCTGTTAACTTTTTCTGTAACTTTTCGTGTTTAACTTTTTGTATTCCTTAAGTTAAAATTAGTTTCAATGTGTTAAAGTTTTAACGGAATAATTTTTTAGTTTTTTCGTTGTCAGTTTAAAACAACGTTCTGTTTAATTTATTTTCACTTCCGGATAATATTGATACGTTTCCGGACTCATTCATTTTTAAATTGGCTCAATGATACGTCTTTTTTTTTCTAGGAACATAAGTTAAATTGCGTTTTTTTGGTTGAGGTTTTCAACTTTTTCTTTTTTTTCGCCTGACCAGAGTTTCTTTTTTGAAGGAAAAAAAATCGGCGTGTTTTCTTTTTCAGTCTTCAAAATTATTTGTTTGTTCTTTGCAGCGTATTTTTCTTGTTTCTACATCTGTGTTTCAATCGAGTTTTTTTAGCAATTTTTTCTCTCAGCAAGAAGATTGATTATCAGGTTTTGAATTGTTTTTGAAGTTTATCATTTTAAATAGTTTGTTGTGTCTAGAAACGTTTTAGGTTTTTTCAGGTCAGGTTTGTTGTTTGTTTAAGCTTACTTGTTCTGGTTGTTTCAAAATGAGTTAATCAGTGTGCTGTTTAGAAATAGTTTCATCGTGTGTATTCTGCATAGCTGGCCAGCTCAAAACCACAGTTGTAGTCAAACTGATTTTACTGCTTTTTTATTTTCAAAAATGTTTTCCAACATTTTTCCAATCTGATTTATTGTTCCGACTTTCGATACGAAAGTAACGGAATATTTGTGCTCGGGTTGGGTTTTTTTTCTTCAGACAAATTTCGACTTTTTAACTAGCCATTTTTGACGACATTTTTTTATATCATTCGAAAGCCATTGTTGTCCTGAGTTTAAATTTGAAAAGATATTTTACCTGTGATCATTTTTCGTAAAGTTATGAGGGTTTAAAGTTTACCATTTTGGCCGATTTGGGACAATTGAAGCGCGATATATTCCGCACTATTAACGCGTAAGCGGAGATTTAATCCGTCTGAGAAATCGTTCCAAATTGGTTGAAAGAAGCTTCTTTGCCATAATTGATTTATTACAATGAGCGAAATCTATTGTTTAGTACTTTATATGGCGTGTGAGGGGATTATTTTCATAGAAAAATTTTCAAATTTAGAAAAAGTTTTTCATTTTATTTTGTTTCATTTAATTCTTCTATGTTGTTTATGTTATTACTGCTCCATAAACGTTAAAAGGCAGTCGGAACTTTCAGGGCTTTGACCTGACACGAGCAGTCTTGTTTACTTTTTAAAACTTTCTTATAGACGTTTTTTTTCCATCGCAAGTGGTGGGAAGCTCTGTGTGAAACTTGCGATTATATTATGATTCAAAATAAAAGCCTCATCAGACATGAAACGGCAGTAGAAACATTCAGTATATTACTAGTTTTTTTCTAGATTACGAATTGTGGTTTGCGAAGACTGATTGCTTAATGTTTTCCATATTGTAGGGTCTGATCATGGATAGGCGGAAGCTGAGTGCAGAAGTGGCTGTTGCGAGGGAGACGAAAGAGAGGGAGAAAGAGGAGAGGAAGAAGGATTCGATGGAGCAGAGAGTGAATGACAGACGCAACCTCCACCTGGCCAGGGTCGGACTGATCAGAGGAGACGCAGTCATGAATATGTCCAAACATGATCTCAAACTCAGAGACAGGTGGGGCAATGCGACTAGAAGCTTTTATTGCTTTTTAATTGACTCGAGGATAAATTGAACAAAGTCACTGTTGTGAATAATGCATTTTTGGCAACGGAGCGTGGGTGTATGTTTGCTAATGACAAAATAATGATTTCTTTCTTTTATAAAATTTGAATACAAGACTTTGGAGTTTCCTTAGTTACAGGGTTCTTTGGTGGACTTTCAATACTCCGTAAAGTCGGGACTTTTGTCTGATTTGTAAACCCAGTTGTGTTTTCTGGCTAGTAATTGAAATTGTGCTTTTAGAATTGAGAAAGTGAAAAAAACGAAGTTGCAGAACTCCAACATAGTGGTGTCCCAAACTAGACTCTGTGTGCACAATGTGCCCAAACAGATTACAGACAAGGAGCTGAAGGCAATGTGCTTGAAAGCTATTAGAGGAAAGAAACATCATATCATTGAGGTCGTTCAAGTGTTCTTTGACTTTTTTTTCAAGAGTACTGAACTTAAAGTAATGAAGAGAGTGAAAGATTAATGAAGAGGGTGAAAACTCTTATATAGCTCTAGCTGTTTTTTTTTCAGGAAAAGTCTTAAAACTTGTTCAGGCTTTAATTTACGTTTTAGCGAGTTGATTTTTGAGTTCTTTTCAAGTTCATTTCATTTCCTTTGCTTCAAATAAAAATTGGATGCAATACCTTAAAGTGTTCATGAAATGTCTATTCCTTGATTTGAGATCGACCCCTTTTTAGCATCTTGTTTATCTACTTCTTTGAAGTGATAGTTTTCTTTGATTCAGGGCTGCCATAATGTATTTTGATTCCCATTTATGGTTCCATTGTGTTATAAGGCTTGCGATTAGCAAGGTATCAAACTGGAATATAGACTTTTTTTCGGGTTAACAACTTGTTTAACAGAATCACTTACTGCCGAATTGGTATCTTGGTTCATAATGAATTCAAACTGCTAATCGTAATCGGCACACTTTGTGTGGAGGTAACCAATACGCCTGGGACGCCAAATGTCCTGGTCTCGAAACTGACCGGACCTGTTTTTTTTCAACGGGAAATAGTTCGTTTCGAAAAAAAAGTTCGTCTTGTTATTGTCTGCTTATGTTTTTTCGACTTAGTTGCCATATTGTAGATTTTTTAAAGTTTTTTTATATTGTAGTTGCTTTTAGTCTTCTGATTAACCTCTGCTGTTTGTAATTTTACTAAAATGACTTCGTATATAAACTTGATTCTGTCCAAATGCTTTCGGTCTATTTTTTATTGGCGTAGTGACCTAATTTCGAGTCGTTTCAACAGAAATATTTTTCATGCTCACCTCTGGATCGCGCAAAATGCTAAATTTCTTAATAGAATTTCATGATAACAATTTTTTTCTGACTTTTGATTTTTTTCCCTTTTTTGGCTTGATAGGTTGCGGCGTATATTGTATCGGCTTATTGGCCTCATATTACGTATTTCGACCAGCGAAAAACGTTTTGTGAATGCGTGTCTGTGTTTTGAAGTTGAGGGGGACTTAACATCTTGGTCTAAAATTTTTTTATTTCGACTTTTTTTCTTTTCTTGGGCTTGATAGGTTTCGGCCAATTCTCTATCGGCTTAGTATCCTCATATTGTTTCTTTGACGAGCAAATGAAGTGTTTAAGGTTGAGATGGACGTATTAACTTTTCAGATGTCTGAAGTTTTGTTGATTTTTTCGGCTTAACGGGTTTCTGTGACAAGGTATTTTCGGCTTTGTTGCCGCTAAGTACATTATCTTGCGATGCTTTTTACACAATCTATTGTCTCGTAATGTTTTGTTTCAAAACTAGTCTTACTCATTTTAATAGATCGAATTTTTTCGACCTTTTCGATTTTTTTTTGTATCGCAAGTGATGCAAAGCTCAGCTTCGCCCCTGTTGAAACATTGTTTTCACTGTAAAGTTGGCCGTCTGTGATGAGAGTGGGAATTTTTTGCAAACCCTGTCTGTTTCAGTGTCGTATAATGAAGGAGAAAACGGACAAGACTGCGAGTGGGCTGGGAAAGAGTCTCGGCTATGCATTCGTCTCTTTCTCCTCCCACCCGCTCGCACTGAAGGCGCTGGAGGCACTCAATGACAACCCCAATGTCTTCTCCCACGAAAAGGTTTCTATAAACTAATTCTTTTTGGATTCCTCTACAGACCAGTTCTATTATTGTGCGAGTTAATCTATTGAAACTAAAAGAATATTGGTTCATGTATTAAGTTTAATATTCAAAAAGTCATCTTTTTGAGAGCAGCAAAATATTCTATATTTGAAGAGGAGTAAAGTGTTTGTCAATAACTAAACAGGCGTCACATGATTTTTTGGAATTGCTTGAAGTTTCAACCAGTGACAAAATTCCGGCAATTAAGCGTCTAGATATTCAGTGGTAACTCGGAGAAGCACTAAGGCGCGAAAAATCAATTTGCTCGAATTATACTATATCTACAAAGAGACCCTCTTATAAATTTTAAAGCCCCCACAAACTTGGCGCAAAAATTACTCGGTCAATGCAATTTGTTTTCAGCGACCAGTTGTGGAGTTTTCGTTGGAAAATATGACAGCTCTTCAGAAGAAACAACGCAGTATGCTCAAGTCACAAGTGAGTGCATTATCTTTATTCCTCATTTTTGAAAATTAAAAATGGACAATTTTTTCCGATGAGAGAATCAGAATTTTACATATATAATTTTTCGGTTGTCGCAATTTTTCAACGATGAGTTGCATTGCGCAAAATAATCGAAGTTTGGATTTGTCACTGAAATAATTCTAATGTAATTCTTATTTTGTGTTGATAGGGTAAAGATCCTTCCAAGGAGCAATTTCGGAGTGGCAATGAAGTCCTGAATTACAAATCCAAAAAGAAACTCAAAACGATTGCCAAGTCCGTGCAACTACCAGAAAAAGAAGAGGCGTCTGCGAACAAACCCAAGAAATCTGACGTCGCTCTACCTCCAGCTGTGATCGAGACTCTATCTGCGGCTGATTTGAAAACACGAGTGATCAACCCAATGCCAAAGAAAACACTACTGAGATCTGTCGACAAAGCAAAACTGCACAAAACGTTAAGCCGAAGAAAAAAGCAGAAACAAATGAGCACACAAGGTTTCAAAGACAAGAAACAGTCTGAGGAAAGTTCAGTTCCTATAAAGAAAATAAACTTGAAGAAAAAGAATAAGTTTTTGAAGCAGCCTTTGACCGATAGTTTGGATGCTTTGATTGCAAAACGAGTTCAAAAGCGAACTGTTTAAAATAATGTATTTGCACTCCTGCCTGCTGGTTTTGATTGTTGAATTGAAGTTTTTCATTTGTCTTAAAAGTTAAGATCAGCAACAAATAAACATAGGAAGTATTTGAAATCAATTTGTTTTATTCTACAAAACAGGAAATATTTGTATTTCAAAACAAACCGTTTTATTCAACAAAATATCGCATTTTGTCTGTTAACATACTGCTTTTATAATCATATATTGCATCTTGCATCTGATGTATTTTGTAAACACAGCTGGCATAAAGTCTTGGTTTTGATTAAGACCATTCATTGCCTGTTATTTTCCCCCATGGTCGACACACTGAGATTCTTGTTCTTTGTGTTTTTTGTGCAATGTCACAAATGGTTAACAATTAAATTGTAATGTTTTGAAAAGCGTAATATATCGAAAATCGTTAAGTGAATGTTTGCGCCTGATTTTGCGTCAATTTATTGCTGTCGTACACGTTACATTCGTACACGTTGCAACGCGGATGGTCGGAGCCCTATATTGTCCAATGGCATACTTTTTACTCTAGCGAGCTTAGTGTATTAGCTTGACTCTTTTTTCCCTACCTAACTCGCTAATAAGAGTGTTCATTTGGTGGCATTTTTGCTATAATCACAATCTGTAGCATTCGAAATTGCAGTGCAATAAATTGAACAAATTGAAGAAACTTAAAGACGGTTTTTTAATCAGAGGTGTAGCGATTCAAGCTAATCTTTAAAATTTCTAGCGCAAAAAAATATCTCATGGGTGAACTTTTCTCTTATTGAGAAATTGCGTATCTCGAAATAATTTAAATAAACGGTAACAAAGAAAAGAGTCTTCAAGAATTTATTTTCAATGCACATAGTGCAGACTCGTATAAAGGTCGTGATAATTTTTCTGTTGTTTTTTTTTGGAATAATTATTGCTTTATTTAGATAGTTTTTTCCTTTGATAAAAGATAGGCAAACTCAACAAGCGAACAGCTCAATATATAGGTCGCAATAAAACGTCATCGAGTGCTAGTTTAGAAAGTGTATTTATACAAGTAAGCCTTAGCGAGCGTAATAATTGGTTAACCAGAAAAAAGTCTATACTCCGAGTGGTTAACCAGAAAAAAGTCTATACTCCGATTTGATAACGCTTGCTAATCGCAAGCGTTATCAAATCGGAGTATAGACTTTTTTCTGGTTAAACACTAGTTTAAAAAAATCAATGAATTACTAGTGAATTTATCATTTGTGGAGCATTCAATTCTGCAGCAATTGTGCTCAATTTCCTGAAGATTCAAGTTTAACTACCGCGTACGAAAACTAATTAACTGCTACGTGCCTAGGCTCGAATCCGGTCAGCATATATATATATATTTTTTTTCAAAGTCCAAAGTAATTAGTATGAAAAACAGCGGTCTATTTGTTGTTCGCTTATGTTCTGTCGGCTTACTTGCAATTTTTCGTATTTTTTGCTGTAAGCTAATCGAAAAAAATTTTTTGTAAAAGAACATGTTTTTGATTGATATATTTTTTTTAAATAAAAAAACTCACTTAAAAACTCTCTTCGGCCTAAATAGTTTCGGCGTTTGTTCTATCAGCTTATGAACCTATATTTGAGTTTTATCAAGCAAAAAATAGATTTTAATCATTTTGCGCATTTGCTAAAGAGGAGGGCCGTAAATATTTAGAGTTTCAGAAGTTATAGCTCAAATTTTTTCGTCAACAAGCTCTTTACTCGCTGCTTGATTATTTTTTTTAAATATTTTTTTCCGGTGGTTGTGTTGGACTTGCGCCCCTCAAATTGAACATCATCGAGTCAAATGTTTGGAAACTTCGTAGGTGTAATTGATTTGGTCTTCAATTTTTTTTGTTTTTGGTATCGCAAGTGGTGCGCAGATTTGCTTCGCCTCGTTGTAATATTACGACTATTGTTTTTTTTGAACTTGAGGTGCAAATATAAGTGCTAATTTTAGTTCTACTATTTACCGAGGTGCTACTATTTACACATGTCAGCTGTAGCCAGCGTAATGTAATGTTACGACTATTTTTTTTCAACTATGAAGCAAATATTAGGTCTACAGGCTGCTTCAGCGTTTTATTAGTATGTGCTTTGACATTTGATAAGTAGTAAATTAAATTGATGCTTTTTGTTTTATCAAATAAACTTAAAAAGCTATTGGTTAAATAGGGCTATTTTTTTTTTACTTTTTTCCTTGTTTTTTGCAATTTTAGAGCTAGTTTTTTCTGTTTTTTTGCTCGCGATGCAAAATCTAGCTTCGCTTCCCTGTAAACTGTTGAAACAATCATTTCGAGCGTATTATAATTCAATTTTTGAAGGCGCACTCGGCTCCACTATTTTTATTAAAACGTTTAATTAACTCTTAGATCAGTTTTTTTTTTCATTATTTTCTGTGTTTCAACTAAACTTGGTTCAAGGAAAAACACTTAATAGAGTTTTTTGCCGATTTTTTCAGTTTTTTAAGAACACAAAAAGTTACTCGTTTTTGTTTTATTTAAGTTTTTTGCAACTTTTCGTAGTTTTAGCGCTTCTTTTTGCAAAAGACGCTGTGATTCTTGTTCTTTGTATTTTTTATGCAATGTCACTAATGGTCAACAATTAAATTGTAATGTTTTGAAAAGCGTAATATTTCGAAAATGGTTAGGTGCATGTTTGCGCCTGATTTTGCGATAATTTATTGTTATAGGATTTTGATTAAAAGTTCTATCGAATAGCTGCAGCAGTTTATTCATCTTTTTATTGTTATCAAGGGCTTGCTGAAAATATCTTTAAGTTACTATTTGAAAGTTGCGTACATTAAGTTTGAAAGACTGTATTGTTTTATGCTTTGTCAGAGACTCGTGTAGTTTTTTTTGGTAATTTTGGAAACCAACCAATTAAGTTGCCGAAAAACTTGTTAAAATGAGGCTATGCTAACTTTATTAGGAAAAATAGTCACATTCGGGAGATCAAATGTACTATAATCGGCAACCAAATCTGTTTTTCTGTAAACAACTTTCTTACAAATAGGTAAGAAAATGAACTTGCTCTTTTAGTGAAGCTTTGATTTCCTGATTTGGTCCGGAGATAACGCAGTTGCCTTTGCACCCCAAGGTGTGGCGTTTGAATACCAGCCAAACCTTTTTTAAAGTATGTTTGAAAAAGAAATTGTTTTCCAGGAGGAATCGATTGTCGGATTTTCGTGTGTGCCTAGGTTTTGTCGGCGTAGTTTCCCCATCACGGTTTTTTTTGTGATGCAAGCATTTTTCATAAGTTGCCAATAATATTGATTTGCTCCTGTAATTTGTAAATTTGTTAACCACGACTCAGTACTTTTTCTGTTTTCTTTTTTTTCGCTGTAATCTTTGTTCAGCTTTAAAAATTTTCGGCTTTTTTTGATTGAGTCAAACTATTTAGTGAGTTTTGAAAGCCAAAACGTGATTATCAATTTTGAAAACGACTCAGGTCGGGTTTGTTCCAAAAGTTTGCCTCTGCTTTACTTCCGGAGGAGCAAGTGTGGCCACAAGTGTACAAGACATTTTGTCAGAAGAGAACTTTGTTCACAGATTTCTTCACGTGACGTGTATGCATGCAGTACACGTGCGTCCTGATATTTTCCTTTGACGGTCATTTATACCAACGTGGGCCTCTAAATAAATTTTTTGCTATTTTTTTCAGTAAATTACAGTTGGAAAGATTTTGTTTCAGTAAAACCCGTTTTAAGTCATCATTTTATTCTCATGTGCTAGAAAGCAATTGTTAATTTTCCAACTTTTTTTCTAATTTCAAATTTTGAACAAAATTTTCATTTTTTTTTCTCTATTCCTTCTATTAAAATCCTTCTCTCTCTATTAAAATCGTGGCTTTAATTTTTGATATCCGATCTAAAAGTTTGTTTGCGTTTTTTGTGTTACGCTAAGTTTTGAACGTTTAAAATCCTCTGCTGTTTTTGCTTTAGTCAGTTCTTTGTGCATGATGTATTGTAAATCGTGCGACTGCGTAAAAAAAATAATGAACAAGTTAAAGGATATTTTCTCCTCGTTATTGAACGTATATTCAAGGCTTTACGTACGTTCGCGCGGTGTGTCTGCATTTGGTAGAGCAAGATCCCTCCTAACAAAACTTGCTAGCTAAGTTAATAGCGCCTAATACAGCTAGGGCAAAAAAAATTAAAAGGTTTTTTTTCTTGTTCAATCGGCTGTTTGAATCCATGCGTGCCTGAAGTGAGTCTCCGCAGTGTTATGAGTTTTGTTCTCGTATTTGCTAATATTTTAGAGTTCATCGTCACAAAGCCAACCTGTATCTTGTGAATTTCAAGCGGATTGGATTCCGCAACAATGACGCTCTCTTTGATCTTCGCCTTTGTTCTTTTGTTTTCTTTTATTGTTCCGACATATAATTTTAACATGATTAAAGACTTCTCTGGTTTCCAGAGACATACACGCACTAAATTGTGCGCCTATCCAGTGCACAGTTTGGCCTCGTAATGCTCTCGGCCGTGTTTTGCTTATGTTTACGAAGTGAAGCTTCAACTGCGCTTCATCTTTTTTATTTGACATTGATTAGTTTTCCAAATGGTCATACTTTGACTTATTGTCTATTAAGTTTTTCCAGCCACATATAAAAACAAGACTGCTCGTATCAGGGCGAAGCCCTGAATGTTCCGACTGCCCATTAAGGTTTATGGAGCAGTAAAATCATTAAAAAATTTAAAGTAATAAAACAAAATGAAAATTTTTTTTTCAAAAATTTGAAATTTTTTATAAAAATCATCCCCCCACACGCCATGTAAAGTACTAAAGGATAGATTTCGCTACTTGTAACAAATCAATTATGGTAAACAAGTTTTGTTAAACTAATTTGGAACGATTTCTAAGACGGATTAACTCTCCGCTTACGCGTTAATAGCGCGAAATACATCGCGCGTGAATTGTCCCAAATTGGCCAAAATGGCAATCTTTAAACCCCCGTAACTTTACGAAAAACGATCACAGGTGAAATATCTTTTCAAATTTGAGCTCAGGACAACAATACCTTTCGAATGATATAAAAAAATTCCATCAAAAATTGCTAGTTAAAAAGTCGAAATTTGTCTGAAGAAAAAAAAAACCAACCCCGAGCACAAATATTCCGTTACTTTCGTATCGAAAGTCTGAACAAAAACTAAAAGATCTGTATAAAGTTCTTCTTGTTCGTAAATAGACTGGGTGTTTTAGCCTTCCATGTCTGAATCCTGAGCGAAATCTATTTAACATCGTTTAGACTGCACGACTACGGATCGTTAACTCTCGAAATCAGCAAAAGCAGAGCAGGCTCCTTAAATAAAAATTAACATACTATGCCTCTTTGTAAATCTCATAATACAATTTTGAACATGAGAATGTACAAAAAAATTATATTACAGTATATAATTCAGCTTGTACCAAATTAGCAAATTCGAAGAATGATTATTATTCCATAAGTTTAATTATACAACTTCGTATAAAATGGTTCCGCTTAAAATTTAAGCACGATATAAATTCAATATCTGATATTAAAAATCATATCCAGTCCTCATGTCACTAGGCAGATGTGTCCACGAGGTATTGGACAGGGGCTTCTTGGTTTTATTAGGGGTAACTTGTTAGCCTTTGAAGTCTCAGTGTGATGCAAAAATGGAGAGTGAGTTGCCGTATCCGCTACTTCTCAATGTATTCATCGGACTCACGTTTCCATTGTAGAGCTGAAATCAAAGAGAAATCTGCAATAGTTTCATATGATTCATTTGCCGTTGTAGAGAGGTTAAACACTACTGCCAGTTGAAGCTAAAATTAGGAAAATCTCAAAATTGTACTTAATATATGAAATCTTGAGGGTAACTTATTTGAAATACAGTACCATGTCAAGTGGGATTGGGCATAATCGACTCTTCCGGTTGCCCCTAAATTCGGCTTGCCATTTTCAGTACTATTTTGCTGCATTTTTTCGTTACTGTTCTAAAATGCGCAAAAAAAAACATTTCCCTAAATAGTTACCGGTAGATATGGCCGAAAATTTTTTTCCGAGCTACAGTCATGGTCATTCTGCGATTTAATTTCATTCTGACTAAAATTTTTCCATCTGTAAATGAGGTTTTGTCGTGCCAAGAAGGTTTTCTTTTTTGGAATCGACAAGAGGCATGCACGGGAGTGCAATTTTTTTCTTAAATTTTATTCAAACCAATAAAATCTCGACCCATATAAATGCAAACCCAATGCTCCCGAAGGTTATAATTTCACAGATTGTACTGTCTAATCCAAATAATCATGCTTTGTGTCCACCAAATGCTAACTCACATTAATCTTAACTGAGGGAGATCCAAGCAGAAACCCAAACCCAAACCAGCACGAGTGTTCAATTAGGAACTTCGCGGGTTTTGGGCTGAGGTTTCTTTTCCATCCAGTGAGCAAGCTAGTGGGTTAAACAACTTTAAGCCAGTTCATCGGGTTATAATAATTGTAATCAACTAAGTGGGTACAGCTAAACCACATTTTCTACATGAATACTGAATTAACGAGTTGAAAGTTATGTGCAAATGTTATTCAACTAACAACGACATCTAAATTATAAAGTGCAGCTTATTTGGAGAACTTAACTGATTAGAAAAGCGAGCAAGTTTTTCCAATTTCGGGCGGCTTTAATCGGCCAAATCATCTGATGGCTTAAAGAACAATCGAGTGAATGATGAAGGTGGCGAAACGTATTCAAACATGAGATATGTGTTAAATTAGCAGAAAAGGGAACTCCGTCGACTCCTTACTTTCATTTCGTATTCTTTCAGATTTCGCTCCAGGTTGATTTTCTCGTCGACTGTGGCCGACAACTTTTCCTTCAGTGTTTCATTCTCGTGCTGCCAGTCTCGCAAGTTCCGTTCGCTCGAAGTGAGAGACCGAGAGAGCGATTTATTCTCCTCCACGGCAGATTCAAGTCTGAAATGAAAAACAAAGCTTGCAAAACTTGAGGATTTTTTTGAGACGCATTTGAGACGCATTTGCCGGAAGTTCTTGAGTTTTCACGCTTCAGTTCAGGGGTGGATTTATTGGAGGAAAGGGTAGAAGAAGCCTCCTCTCAGGAAATTGACCACTTCGTTACCCAAAAACTCCCCCTTTAGTTCTATTTTACGATATCCTTTCAGGCAACCTACCGCAGAAAAAATTTCTGATGGCGCTATTGGCATTAATATACACTAACTTGATGCGTGAGCGCGCCCTTTTAAAAATGTTAGATCTGCCCCTGCTTGCGGTTATTGTTCCGACTTTCGATACGAAAGTAACGGAATATTTGTGCTCGGGGTGGGTTTTTTTGTTCTTCAGACAAATTTCGACTTTTTAACTAGCCATTTTTGACGGAATTTTTTATGTCATTCAAAAGGTATTGTTGTCCTAAGCTCAAATTTGAAAAGATATTTCACCTGTGACAGTTTTTCAAAAAGTTACGGGGGCTTAAAGATTGCCATTTCGGCCAATTTGGGACAATTAACGCGCGATATATTTCGCACTATAACGTGTAAGCGGAGAGTTAATCCGTCTTAGAAATCGTTCCAAATTGGTTGAAAGAAGCTTATTTGCCCTAATTGATTTGTTACAAGGATTGAAATCTATTCTTTGGTTCTTTATATGGCGTGTAGGGGGATGGTTTTCATTAGAAAAATTCAAATTTTAGAAAAATTTTTTTTTTCATTTTGTTTTATTTCATTTAATTTTTTAATGTTATTACTGGTCCATAAACCTTAAAAGGCAGTCGGAACATTCAGGGCTTTGCCTTGATACGAGCAGTCTTGCTATGATTGTGATTCAACAGTCAGAAAAAATTAGATCTAGAAGTCCAGCTAAGACTGGAGGCACCTGTTCGATAATTTTCGATTTTATTGTACTGATGCGGGATGGAACACATATTTTCAAAAATTTTAAATTGGGCTTCATCCAAAACCATAGTGGTTGCTCTATTAAAATGTGAGTGAAAATTTGTGATTTTGCAATTTTTCAAGAATATTTTTGTACAAACTTTAGGGCGTAGCATCTTATGCACAGAGGCTTCCCACAACATGTTGCTTCGATTAAGACCTTGATATCAGATTGAGTTGTTTTCAAGAAGAGTCAAAAAGTTTCAAAAACGGTCCAAAAATGTCAAAAATTGCTTTTTTCCGGGAACGAAATTTTTTTTTGTTAAAAAACTTTGAGTGTAGCTGTTTAATCAAAGGAGCTTGCCATAACTTCTTTTTTCTATTGAACCTAAAATATCAGATTTGGGAGGGTAGTTTTTGAGAAAATCAGAAAATTTCGAAAGAAAAACGGCCACAAAATCGAACATTTGACTTTTCCGAGGATGATAACTTGTCGTTTAATAATTTTTGGGCGTGAGCGCGTATGCAGGAGAGCTTACAGTTAAACCAATATATCAGATTCGGGATGGTAGTTTTATCAAAAGTCAAAAAATTTCAAAAAACCAGTCAAAACTTAAAAAATTTTACTGTTGCTAGGGTCATAACTTCTTCTGTAAAAAATAGGGTGTAACCGCTCATGCATGGGAGTTTTCCACAATCCGTTCTAGTTATTGACACAAAAGTCTCAGATTTGGGAAGGTAGTTTTCGAGAAATTCCAAACAGTTTGAAAAAACGGTCAAAAAAGTCGAAGGTTTGACTTTTCTGAGGGCCATAAGTTTTTGTGCAAAAAAATTTGGTCGTAATCGCTAAAGCAGGGAATTTCGTACAGTTTATTCTATCCATTCAATCCAAAATCTCAGATTTGAGAGGATAGCTTTTGAGAAATTGTAAGAATACTAAAAAAAAATGGGTCGAAATACCCCGTCACATTTTTTCGAAGGCTGTAAAAAGTGGGGTAAGGTAAAGAGAGCCTATAGATTTACGGATGCACACAGGGGAGTGGGCGGACTTCTCATTGGTACCCCCTTTTTCTCGAACATCAGCAGAGATAAAGCGTCTCAAAAAAATTAAAAACCCGATCCCAAAATTTTTTTTCATAGTACCTGTTTTTATCAATCAGGAAGTTTGAATCTAACTTAAAAACCTTTATTGCTATCTTCATAATTATGTAATCTGTTTGGAAATTAAAAGGATTTAGCGGTTGAGGTTTTAAGATAATTTCTGTAAATATTATTGCTCACTTTGATGATAGATCCCGTTTATCCTCATTGACTCTCTTGAGCATCTGTTCTACTGAGGAGCGAAGGCTGGTCTGATGGCTCAGTTCCAGGTTGAGTGAGGTCACTTTGTGCTCCAGAGAGGAGATCTTCTCACTCGCCAACTGACGCTGCTTTGCCGACTGGTCTCTAAAACGGAAACATCTCAAAATGAATAGTTAGTTTTGTCTTTTGTCATCGACATCAGATGATATGTAAAAAATGCCCTACTAACATTGAGGCGAGTGCAATCCAAAAAAGTAAGGCTTGAGTATTTTATACCCAAACTTCCTCTCAGGTCTAAGAAGTTTTGACTACGGAAGCTAAAGTTTCCGAAAATATTCTCTGGAAGGTAAAGTTTCCGAAAATATTCTCTGGAAGCTAAAGTTTCCGAAAATATTCTCTGGAAGCTAAAGTTTCCGAACGCGTTTTTTTCAGTAAGTGCTTGAAAATTGAACTGGCAGTCGTCTCACTTGAGCTTGTCGCACTTTTCCTTGTATCTGCTCTTCAGCTGTAGGTTCCGGGTGAAGTCCTCGTCCTGCTTCTGAGTCAGTTTGTCCAACTCTGCCAGTAGTTCGTGCATCTCAAACTGCAGCACCAGACAATGTTCCAGAAGGTTCTCCTTGTTCATGTCCACCAACTCATTCTAGAATGCAGGGACACATTTCTATAGAAACTGGAGGTAATGATAAGAACGCTGCTTAACCTAAAGAATATCAAAAATTTGCAGAAAACATTAACACATACAAGTACTAAACATAGATTAAATGCGCGTTTTTTTATTTTTACGGCCCGGAATGATGTAAGCATAACCGCATCAAAAACTAAATATCATTCTAAGCAATAATCTAAACAATATTCTATCCTTATTGATACTTACCTTATCTTTGAGTGAGAACTTCCCGCTTCCCCCTCCCCCATTCTTTCCTCCCACTGTTGCCCTGTGTAGCTTAGGCGTGGATGTGTTGTTGTCTTTGTGGCTGCTGGATCCAAAAGAGTGGTTGTCCAGGTCTTCTTCTAATTCCTCTCGCTTCGACTTGTAGGATTGCAGCTTCTCGTAGAACCTCTGCAAATAGATAATTATAGGCATGAACTTGATCTTAAGCTTGAGACATTGAACTTTAGGAATCAAAAATTTCCGATATAATCAAATGGGAGAAAGACAAGACAAATATCTGTTTTTCAGTTTGATCGAGAATTTTGTCAAAATGAAGTTTATCAGAATAATTCATTTTATTGCTACCTAATTTTTTTTGGTTAACATGGCCAACTGTGTTTGTATATGAAAATTATATCAAGTGTGGGTATTGAAAAGCAATAAAAATGCAAAAGATTGAGGGGATTCAGTTTCACACTTGCAAAACAAAAGTTTCAGGAAGCTACTAGACATTTAATAGCATGTTTTTTGTGGATTCCAATAAAAAATTCAGAAAACCATTGACAAGTTCTGGAATCCACTGAAAAAACAGAATCTAGTGACAAACTTAGGGAAATTACTCTGGAACCTACTGGCAATGCTCAAAACCAGCAACTTTTAATCCAACTTGCTTCAATTGAAGAAAAAACGCGTCTGTCCGTGAAATGCAAAACAAGCGTGGCTTAGTATTTGTCTCTATTTTCCACATTTCTGCCCGCTAGCCTGATTGTAGATTTTTGCCCGCTAGCCTGAGCCGTGTAATTATTAAACATTTGATTTTCGATTCCAATTCAACGCTCGTGTATGGAAACCGATTCAAGTTTTGCAGGTAAGAGAGAAAAAGTCTTTGGAATCCAAATCAGCATAAAGTTTACCAATTGTAGTCTTCTAATTTAGGCAGTTTGGAAAAAAATATTTTTTATACTTGACTCTAATTGAAAAGTTTTGTTTTTGCAACTTGATAAACCGGATCAACCAGTGTGTATACCTCGCTGGAAGTTTTTAAAATCAAAATTCACTTTTTAAACTGAAAAACAACTGCAATTTTTTGCACCAATTGGAAGTTTGCCGCACGGGAGCACAAATTACTTTGCACCTAAAAAACTTATCAAGATGACGCTAAAACCCCAAAAAAAGTGCAAACAGCTGCAAATGTTTAGACACGAAGGTAAGTTTTATTTTATTAGAAACCTTAAAATAAGGCCAAAATCCCAACCTACACAAAAAAAAGTTTTTGCCGATCATTAACATTTTAAAAGTATTTGAAACCAGCGTACATTCGAATCAAAATCCATTCCAAGCCACTGAAATGTGTTAAAATCTCAAGCACAAGGTGTTTTTGGAGAATTACCTATGAGATAGTTGAAACCCAATTATTAGGACGTCATTCTGAAATTGTTCAAAGAAATGTAAAAACCTTAATTTGCAAATGGTTGTCAAGTGCAAAGGGGGACAATGCGGAGTTTTTGAGCGTATTTTTGTCAGCGGAATTTATTATGAAAAAGAAGCAGTTCTCTGTACCGGGTTGAGCTCACATTGAAAACTAGCGATAAAAAAGAGGAAAAATAAAATATCGATATTAATTGCCACAATAGCAACTTTTATCGATAGATAATTGCTAAATTGGCTAATTTTCAGAGATGAAATAGCGATAAAAAACTTATCAAAATGAGCAAAAAATAGTGACCTACCGAGGTTCGATTACGCAACCATCAACCTTGTAGACATGCATGCTTACACTGCGCCACTACGCCTTTGATATGATCAAGTTTGAGGGCCTATCAGCTCAAGTTCTCATTTCAAAGCTACTAGAATGAGTAAAATTTCTCAAGTTTGAGCGCTGACCTTCTACGGAATCCTTACTGGAATAGCTCTGAAATTTCGCAGGTTTTCTGTGACCAACAAGAAACAAATCAAAAATCTAGTCTATGTACACATTATTGAAATTTGACTACCAAAAATTGTGTTATTGAAATTTTATTAAACGACACAGTTGGTGTTGCCTTCCGAAATGGCTACCCGCGCAGTTTTAAGGAAAGAATTGTTTAGTTACCTTTTTGAGCTTACAAACAAAAAGATTTATTTCAAATAGGGATTACTGCCCTGTTGCCAAAAATTTTCATAAAGCTTACATGATTATCGCTTTGCGATATTCTTTGTGTATCGAATTCTGAGATCAGTACTTTTAGTCTGTACATGAGAACTGAAGTAGGTGTTGATTGAAGAAACCATCATTGAAAACGTTCTGTAACGGTTGCTGTTCAAGTAGCACAGAATTTTTTGACCACAATAATTTTAAAACAATATTTAAAAAACAGAACTTGTTTGTTTTACAGTCGTGCTGTCATGAGAGTATCTGAACAAAAGCCTAAGAAATAGGCTCCTTCGATGCTAGTACTAAATTAGATATATGTATTTGACTCGAACATTTCCGATGAGTATTTGTGATTACTAATTTTGTGTGGAAAACTAAAAATAATAACATACCCGAAGACAAAGTTTCTAGCCTTTTTCAATGGATGTTAGCAACAGTTAACAATATCTAGGAAGATATAATGTTTTAATCTGCTTGTAAACAACAAAAATTAAAAAACTGATACAACATAAAATAGGCGGACTTTTTCCGCGTTTCGAATTTTTACGATGCTTTTTGTTCCGACTTTCGTAACGAAAGTAACGGAATATTTGTGCTCGGGGTTGATTTTTTTCTCTAGACAAATTTCGACTTTTTATCTAGCCATTTTTGACGGAACTTTTTCTAGATCATTCCAAAGCATTTATGTCCTGAGCTTAAGTTTGAAACAATTTTTCACCTGTAATAATTTTTTGTAAAGTTATGAGGGTTTAAAGATTGCCATTTTGGCCAATTTGGAACAATTAACGTTCGATACATTTCGCACTATTAACGGGTAAGCGGAGATTTCATCAGTCTTAGAAACTGTTCCAAATTGGTTCATGGAAGCTTATATGCTATAATTGATTTGTTAATAGGAGCGAAATCTATCACTTTGTTTTTTATATAGGTTGTGGTGGATGATCATTTTTTATTACAATTAGTTTTTTCTGCTCCATAGACATTAAAAGGTAGTCGGAACATTCAGGGCTTTGCCCTGATACGAGCAGTCTTGTTTATTTTGTTTACATGCGGTTTCGTAACGCAAAATTGACCTAATTTATAAAATGAACCAATCTAAAATCAGAAACTGAATTTGAAGCAATGACTTCGAGATCTTGTCAGAAATTGATTTGTTCCAAGTTTTCATTTGCATTTTAATGTGATTAACTTGAATACAATTTTTTTGATCTTGAAGCCATTTTTTCAGTTTCCAATATTATATCTGCTGGCACCCACCCCCTCTTTTTTACATAAGGGTTGATATGTTTCATCCAGTGAGTGTATACTGACCTCTTTGTCTGCCTGTCGCTCCTTCATCAACTCCTGCACCTGAGTGTCCTTCTGAGTGAGTTGTTTCTTCATCTTCTCCACCACCAGAGAGTTGTCCTCTTTCTCCCTCGTCAATAGAATGCGTACACTGTTCAACTCCAGCTCCTACAAACAAACCCAATTTTTGTTAAATTATTTTGAACTCACCGCTTTTTTTTCACTTTACTGTATTTTTTTGCATTTTATTGTTATCACTCCCACAATTTTTTACTCCCTTTTTCACACTTTTTCACTCCCACAATTTTTTACTACCACTTTTTTTACACTTATTCACTCCCACAATTTTTTCCAATTTTCTGTTTCTGAAAAAAATTGTTATAATGAAGATGTTTATGGAGTTGTTGGAAAATTAGCCCAACTTTTCCTCTTCAGAAAACTAGATCTGCCCTGTGATCAGCGTTTTATGAACTCCTCGTCAACAGTTTCTTTGAACAAGTATCGTTTTAGTGCAATTTTAAATTAATTTTGAGAAATTAATGATATTTTTGTGCTTTTGAACAACATTTAAATAGAAAAAGGACTGGAATAAAAACTAGAAATGATGAACCAATTGAATGTATAAAAAAGCAAGGCCAAGCTCGTTTCTGCCTTAATCCAACTCCTGGTTCTTTCCTTAATAAAATTACACTTACCAGTTTGTGTATTTCTCCGTTCCTCTGTCTGATCTGCTCCTTCATCTGCTGCAACTCCTCCCTCAGAGCCTTGTTCTTCGCCTCCATCTCCCTACTCTGTGACGTCACATCTGAAGAGTAGCCCAGTTTGAGGGAGGACAGCTGGGAGGCCAGCTCCTCGTGCTCTTGCCGAAACCCAGTTATCTGGAAAAGCAGGACAAAAATAACTAACTCTAATTATGATACGTAGTTGAAAATTAGCTGATTAATTTGTACCATTTTGTATCCTTTTGATCAACTGGTCCTATGATTAGATTTTTATTACTCGTAAAGCATTTGAAGCAAGTCAGAATAGGGCAAGTTGTCGAGTGCGGCAAAATATAATGATACATTAATGACCGAATTTGCAAAATGGAAACAGGCACCTTCTAATGATCTCCCGCCCCTTGTTTAAAATGAATGAGCATCTTAATGAATATTTTAGCGCTGCGTATAAAATACTCGGTTCTGATTGTGCTCGGTTCTGTGGTATTCATTAGTAAAGCAGCATTTGTTCAGGGTGAGGATGTTAACTTGAAAACAAGTTAACATCCTCCCCTGAACAAATTATGCTATACTAATGAATAACAGGCTCGTCGGGTTCATGCACCATCTTTCTCTCCATGTTAATTGTTACTGGGTAGGGGGGATAGCTAAACATAAGTGTCCCACCTCCTCGATGAGTGCCTTTTGGGTAGTCTTGAGGGTCTGAATGGTCTTCTCCTTCAGCTCCAGCTGAGTCTGCAGTGCCTTGATCTGATCCTCAGTCTCTCCCACTTTAATCTCAAACTCTTTCTTCAATCTCGACAACTCTCTAAAGTTCGAAAATATTTAAGAGACATACATAATCTCATCTCAAAAGATTGCCAAACAACGTTACCAAATATCTAAATAACTATATTTTTGAGTTGATGAAATGTATTATTTCAGCAATCTCCCAAATTTGTTTTTATCATTCAAGCATGATGAAGTGGCGAATCTCCTGAGCCAACGTCGCTTTTTAATGCATATAATAACTTCAAAGCACTACCCTTTACTTTTTAATTGATTGAACCAACTCTAATCGTTCACTTCAAATTTTTTATTTTTCCTAAAAGTAGAGGTTATGAGCTAGATCTGAAGCGAAATTAAAAACTGACTGCGGCGTAAATCTTAAAACGTTTGACGATTTCTACGTAACTTACGTGTCCAAAGAATCTTTTTCTTTCAAAATCTTCTGTTTTTCTTTTTTCAGGTGCTCAATTTCATCTTTATCCTGAAATGCAAGGACGTGGAACAGATTTTTTCTAACAAGTAGTGATGATGATGAGAGTAACTATGAATGACTGTGTGAAGAATACCTTGCTTTCTTGGTTCTGTAGTTGATCTTTGATGCTGGCAATCTAAACGAGCAAAGTGAAAGCCCTGGTCGAGTACTCATGAGCCCATTAAAAGACTAGTTAACTAAACCTAGCTGTAACTACACATTGAATAAAAGTCTTCAAAATTAGACATTTTGACAAATTGCATTTTTCAAAAGTTGAACCCTTGGTCTAAATACAACATGAAATGCGCATACAACATGAAAACTTTGACAAATTAAATCGGTTAGAATTTAATCGTTCTTGCTGCGAAAAATAAAAAGGATTATTATAGTTTTTTTTAAATGAAGCCGAAAAGTATCAAAAATTTGCATTTGTTCCCAGGCAAAGTTTCCGAATCTTTTTCCGAAATCTTCTGGATTGATTTTGTTAATTTCCATACACCACCATAATTTCTTTTTGTTCATGGTTCTCTGAATAGAATTTTTTTCTTGGCTTGCTTAACATTAGTGGTCTCACTTTGGTCTGCAGTAGTTTCTGTATCTTCTCCGTCTCCTGACTCTTCTCCTGACACAGTGCCTTGGCCTCCCTCAGTCTCTCCTCAAGTCCCTCCACCTCCCCCCTGTTCCTCTCCACATCTGTCTGGAACTGCTCCACCCGCTCCTTCAGACTCTCGTTCTCTGCCCTCAGCGAGCACACTAGCTGCTCACTCTCTGTGTCCTGCAAAAAATTAATTCTCCTCCAGATAAAAAAAATAGCCTATGGCTGCGCAAATAGAACAGATGTATGGAGAAGTGTATGGGAAAATGTATGGGAATTGTAAGACTATCACTTTTGTCATCCCGAGCACTCGTACTCGCTGGAAAATCTATGCTCATTATGAGCAAGCAACCAATGAACATCAAAAACACTCAAAGTCGATTTGCACTATATGTTCTATGTCCAACAAGCTCTGTGTTCATCAGTGAAAGCACAATGTCCGGAAGACCTGAAATGGGTTGCCGGAACTGTCATTACTAACAGAAACCGTCCAGTATGACCAAAGACAATCTAGATTAACTTCTAGATCAGTTTATTAGGACATCGATATGTCTTTTTTGATCGGCCATATAATCTTCATCAATAATTCTGAACAATGAAAAGAAAGCTTTTCTGTTTTATCCAAGATATTAGCATTGAGAGGATCTAACCCGTGAAGAGAGGATGTTCTCCATGGTCTGATGCAGAATTGACACGTCGCTCGAGTGACTCTCAGTCGTCGCCTTCAGTTTCTCCTCTGATGACGTCAGCTGACCTGTTCACACCCCCAAACAACAGCAAAGAGAAGTAAACAAACACAACCGATAACGGGTCAAGGTATAAACTTGTCAACTATAAGAAGTATAACTTTAACTAAAATAACTCATCGAAGGAACCTTCTTCTTTGTCATGTGATCTTTTTCATTTTTGATCAAATCAGGAGTTCTATTTTTGAGAGTTTTGTCTACAATTTGTATTGTTTTGAGAACGTTTGTATTGCCTACGTATGATACCAGCTTATTCATGAAAATAAACAGCAATTTTGTTATGCGTTGGTAGTTTAAATTAGAAAAAGAAAAGAAGTACAGAAGCTGTGAAGTTTTTCAAATTCTTTTCGAGACATTTTTCTAATTAAGTGAGGTGGTTAAATCTAAATAAGAAAGCAATAAACGATAGACGCTTGAAAGATGTTTTTACGTTGAGATTACTTCGGATTAAATTTGCTGTAAATTTTCACTACAATAATTCAAACCAATTGTAGATATCAAATCAATTGGAATCATATTACCTTCTTAACTTAAAAAACATCACAGAGAAAATTTTGCAATCGAGTTCCGGTCGGAGGCGTCTCTCAAAAAACTGTCAGATTCCCAAAAATTTTAAGAAAAACCAACTAATGGCAGAAACTTCAATTATCAAACAGTCTCCAAAGATATATGACATATTTGATTAATCTTATTTTCAATAGAATAGCCTACGATTCACAGTTCATTGTTTTTCCGACTTTCGAAGGAAGTGGCGGAATGTTTTTGCGTTGTGCATTTTGTTCAAACCAATTTCGGCTTTTTAGTTTTTGACAGTTTTTTTATTAGAATATTTGAAAGACAAAAAATTTTTTAGCTGATAATTGGATAAATTACCTGCGATTTTTTATCGGAAAAATTTAAGATTCAAAAATTGGCAAATTGGGACAATTAATGTGGGCTATTTCCCGGTTTTATATTAACGCATAGTATTTATGGAAAATTTAACACAAAGGCGAAGTTGAACTTCGCATACACAAGCAAAAATGTTACTGAAAACGCTACTGGTAAAAACTGAAAGAGTAAAACTTTGAGTCTACAAATTTTTTTAAGTGACGCACGCCAATTATGAGTCTACATAATTGCTAAGTGACACAAGCCAATTATGACGCATTAGCCAGTTATTTGAAAAAAAAATTACCATCTAACATGCCTCAATTTACAGAGTGGAATAATTTTAACTAGTATGAAAAAGTTTATGAAAAATCTGATCTTGATCAGGTTCAAACCCTCTTATTATGTTGCGGGTCTCCTTCCTTATTTCTATGCTACAGATCAATGATACAATGAAGCTGAAGTGCTATATGTAATGTAATAGTCTAAGCTAATATCCTTAGGAATGGCTGTAATTAATAGCAGGTTATTGATCAAAACGAACACTTTCCAAATGAACACTAATATATGCCACTTAGGCTGGAAAAAAAAGAGTTCATACTATCACACAAGCCTTGTTTGTGTAATTTTTCCAACTTGAACTCAAATTAACTTAACGAACAAATTAATTGCTGCTCTAACTAGTTACTAGTTCAAAAATAGTTCAGTGTTATTTGATTATTACATCTGGGAGCATGTTGTAACCAGCACATGAGAATTGTTGATTTATTGTGAAAATAGTTGCATAAATTTCTTAATCTTGTTGCGGGCGGAAGAATCAGGTTTTAACTTGATACGAGCAATCTTGTTGTTTTAGTTTTAGAAAAAATAAGGAAATATCTATGTATGAAGCAGCTTTTTTGTTCAGACTTGAGAGACAAAAACTTCAAAAGAAAACTGAAAGCTTATATTTTTAAAAACAAAATTATAGGCAATTTTAAAAAACTTTCGCAAAATACAAAAAAAATTGGAACAGAAAAGTTTTGCTATGAAACGAGCTGTGATTTCGCTCAATCTTTCGAGGAATTAAAAGAAATGTATGTGCTTGAGGTAGTTTTTTGTTCAAAAAAACTTCGGCGATCGAATAAAATGTTTTTAACGAAATCGTTTAAACTAAAAGAAGATATTGTTTGCATAAAAAACGATAATATAACTGTTATAAAGTTCGATAGTGTTGTGGGACGGTAAAAATCGCCAGTTTTATCATGTTCTTCACTAACTTATAGAACTTTGAGAAGTTATCGAAGCTCAAAGTATTTAAATGTGGCGAATTATACCGCTCTCATAAGTTTTTTATTGTGGTTTTTTGGTAAGCTTATTAGTCATTTTGTTTGACTATCTGACTATCCCACTCAAATTAATAGCGCTTATTTTTGTTGTTTGGCGGTTATTTGGGAAAAACAACAAAATTTATATTTTGTAAAAACTTTTTGCACCAAAGACTATTCACTATCAGTTAAAGATTTAAAAATTTGCTATACTTGCTACCAGCAGCTTTCTTATTCGGAATTTTAAAGACAAGGGTTGAATATTTGTGCTTTGAGTGGTTTTGTTTCTCCAGATTATTTTTTAAGTTTGAACAAGCCGTTTTCGGCAGAATATTTTTCACCATCTGAAATGTCCAAGTTTCAAAACTAAAAAGAAATATCACCCGCAACTATTTGTTCTACAGTTATGGAGGATTGAATTTGGGACTACATTGATTATAAAAATCATATTAAGATACAGGGGCGGATTTAGGGGGGGGGGTGGCCGCACCCCCTCCCCCTTCCTCAGGGGTTCGACCCCCTGCCGACCCAAAGGGTCACCCCTTTGATACTTTTTCAGAAATCCATTTTTGGCCGACCGACCCTAAATTTTTTCTAAAGGCGCCTTGGGCGCCAATATATACTAATTTTGAGGGGGAGCGCGCGCCAAAAAAAACAAGATTTTTTGTCAAAATTTTTCAAAAAGTGCCCAAAAACGGCTTTTTGGCTGTTTTTTCAAAAATTTGCCGGCGGCGCAGAAAATTTTGCCAAAATAGGGGCAAAACAAAGCTTTGGGAGAGCTCGAAAAATCAATTTGGTCGACCTAAAAAAAGTCGAGAAAATCCTGGATCCGCCCCTGTTAAGATAATAAACGCAGGATAAGTTTAGAACATTGTACTTAACACAGCGTGTGGGAGATAATATGAAAAAACATGAGAAAAGAATTCGCTTATTTAAAAAAAATGAACCCAAACCTTTTTATCGACATTAAATAGTAGCCAGAATATTCAAGGCTTTGCCTTAATACGATACAAGCAGTTCTTTTTAAGTTAATGATCAAGCTCAAATTCTAATTTTCCTCCCACGGAATTTATTCCAGAGAAATCATGAAAGTGTCACCTCTTGTTCGCTGTAAGTCCTCTTCTTTGAGTTCTAGGGATAATCTCAGTTGTTCGCAGTTGTTTTTCAGGGATCTACATTCCAAGTTCAGTCTGTCTGTCTCTTCGTCTAAGTCTTTGATCGTCTTCCGCAACTCCACTGATTCTTTGTCCTTGGAGTGCTGAAGGTTTAAAAGCTAAAATGCAGGTTTTTATTAAATATACACTAAATTTTATTGTGAAATCGGCCCAAAACTTACATTTAATTGATTTTTAACTTTCATCTGATTTTATTGGTCAAGTTTGATATTAATTGGACCAAATTAAAAAAATGAACCAAGTGCTAAATTATAAAAAAAGTGATTAAAAAAATATATATTGGTGATTGGTCTCAAAAAGCATTTCAATATGAGCGATTGTTTTGAAATGCGAAAAAAACTGATTTTGAAGACATCATACAAAAAAACTTTGAATCTTGACAAAAAAAACTACCAACGATCGGCTGCGTACGTTTTTGCCCACTTTGTTTGCAATCCGGGATCAAAAGCAGATCTAGGATTTTCTCGAAGGGGTGGATTTTCGAAACAATTTCCTAATCTTTGACGACCTTTTTTAGGTGGAATTAATTGAATTTCCGAGTGCTCCCAGAACACTATAGAGACCCTATTTTGACAAAATGGATGGCATGAAATAACACCAAAATACCAAAGGGGGGACCGGTCGTCGAATCCCGGAGGGGAGCGCAAAGCGTTCGCACCTTCTCACCAGCCTTCCTTAAATCCGCCCCCTGTTTTCAATGTATGGTTTTGCGAGGATGGGTTTAGAAGAAGTCAACCTGGTTCTGTAGGTTCTTGTTCTCCTTCCTCAACCCCTTCCTCTCTTTGGAGTGTGTGCTCTCACTGCTACTCCTGTCTGTTCTCAGTATCTCCACCTCTGTCTCCTTCTCCAACTTGTACTGCTTGAACTCCTCTCTCAATCTCTTCTGTTGGGAGACTGTCTCCTCCAGTTTCTTCCGACACAGATCCGAGTCATTTTTCTCACTCCTGAAACAAAAAAGGAAACTTAACAGTTAATTTCGATCATAAATTAGGACACTCAATTAATGGAAAAAAAAATAATAAAACCGCCGGTTACTTACAAGTGCCTGTAACTTGCCAGGTTAAGCCACAAACAAATGACCCATCCATGCTTTGTATCTTTTAAATTGTAAATAGCACCATAAACAAAAGAAAATAAACTGCTAAAACAAGTTGTTTTTCTAAGTTTCCATTAAGATTGATAGTTTTTTGCGACTTAAGTCGTTTTTTTTCTAAGTTTCCATTAAGTTGTTAGTTTTTTCTAAGTTGTTTTTCTAAGTTTCCATTAAGATTGATAGTTTTTTGCGACTTAAGTCAGATCTAGAGCATGCTCATGCTCCAGCTTGCTAACCGGCATTTCACCTCCCTTATAATAATAATAATGAAAACAACTTTCAAAATCCTCTGTAATTAAAGAACCCTAGTAATCAAGCAAAAATTAGTTGAAGTCAAAATATCCTGCTCAAGCTCCTTGTTCTCTATTATATAAAGCCTCTAAACACCATGCACAATATTATATATTTTTGTTTCTTACTTGTATTTAGTATTTGTTACCTATGAAAATAACTAGGGGGCGGATTTTCAAAAACAATTCAAAAATTTTGACGACCTTTATTTAGGTTGACAAAATAGATTTTCCGAGCTCTTCTAAAGCATTAAAAAGACGCTAATTTGGCCAAATTTTCTGCGCCGCAAGCAAATTTTTGAAAAAACAGGTCAAAAAAGCCGTATTTGGGCACTTTTTAGAAAATTTTGACAGAAAAATTGCTTTTTTGGCGCGCGCTCCCCCTCAAAGTTGGTATATTTTGGCGCCAAAGGCGCCTTTAGAAAAATTTTAGAGTCGGTCGGCCAAAAGTGGATTTCTTAAAAAATACCAAAAGGAGGACCCTTTGGGTCGGCAGGGGTTCGAATCCTGTGAGGAGGGAGACGTCCACCCTTTAAATCCGCCCCTGACTAGCACGCTTGCCACGCTTGCCATGTTTTGTAACGTAAATCAAACCCATGAATCTAAGACACTTTCTATCTTCGACATTTCATTTTACAGTTTTTTCGTTAGATTTTGAAGTTGCCATTATATTTGCTTAGCTCCTTATTAATATTCAACTACTTCCTGGATCTTCTCGTAAAATGTAAGCTCAAAAGTTATGCTAACTGTTCCAATCATAATAACTGTACCAAATTGAAACACTTTTTACAAAACATACTCAAAAACTCACTGTTGATATTTCGTTATTACTTCCGCTAGGGTTTGTTTGTATAATAAAAAACCAATTTAGCATATAACAGCATTTAATTGTTTATCATAAACGTTGTTGTCCTTAACATAGGAGTTGTAATAATTATTCAAAAATTTCCTTTTCAAAATTTTTGGGGACGAAAAATCCAATCAATGAAAAAACTGCTGGGCGTACGATGATCTTTTGCTTGTATTACCTTAATGTCTTAAATCGGACTGACATGCCGTCTAGGCTTGAAATTCTATTGCAAAAACTGAACTGATAATCGATTATCAATTAAATTGCTATAGCAGAAGGTTTTCTTTGCTAGAACGATTTCTAGGCCAACGATTTTTTGCTTGTTATTTCTTAAAAATGACTGTTACTATATCAGTTATCACATATGTTTATTCAATAAAAAAGGCCAAACTGAGAATCATCAAAGATTTTGTTATTGTTCACGAAGCCTGGATTATGTTTAAAATTATCTTTCGAAAACCTTTTCCTTACGCGTCAATAAGTTGATCAATGAAGTTTCTAGTTTTTTGACATCGAATAAGATGAGTTGCACTAACTTTTGGATAAGAATAATTTGATAATTTAAACTCATTTCTCTGGAGCAAGCCATTAAAAAAATAAATTAGAGACGTCTATGTCTCAATAACTCTCAATGAAATTATTATTTTTATAAAATCAAAAAAATTGCAGGCTCAACAATTTGTTTGAAACATTTTTAGGAATAATTAAGAATTCAATGCTACTTCTCTTACTAACATGAAGGCTTAGCTAAATCATGCGTGTCGACTTTTCTGCGGAACAAAAACAATTCTGCGAAAAAATGCATCATTTTTGTCAAAAGTGAGTAAATTTTCTCAAAAATTAGATAATTTGACTAGAATAGTTTTTCAGTTCATTTTGTGTCAAATTTTTTTCTGTAGATACCTGAGCTTTTCGTGCGTCAAACTTTTATGCGAAATCAGCAATTGCGCAAGAAAAATCAATTTTATTTTTTTAAATGATTTTTCTAACAAATACTTTATGTTATCTTAAACTTATTTAACTATGCGGAATTTGGCAATTTCAAATCGGAGGCTTGTTATGCGGTAACTATGCGGATTATGCGCCGCAGATCTAAGCCAAGCCCGGTGTGTATCATCACTTGATCAATTGAACTTCTTGTGACACGTTTCTTTTTTGATCAATGATCAGTGGCCAAGGAAATTAGACGATTAGCAAATTAGACGGATGCTACAAAAACAATATCAGACAGATTTTTTTTTTACAGATTTGGCATTAGACGTCATTGCTATGAAAAGGAAAGGGCCAAAAAGTTTTCTTAAATTCAAGTTTCACAAATACAAAAAGAACAAAATGACAATACCTATCAAAACAATTAATTAAATGAACATAAGATGTCAAACCCGAATATTACAGGAGAGTTTTGAATTAAATAATATATACATAATTGACATGTTAATTTTTGGCCACCGAAATTTAACTGTTGTCTGCAACACAATTTTATTTTTCGCACGCAATTTGTCTTCAAACCATTTTAATCTCTCTTACTTTCGTCTATTTTCTCACAATTGTAGCTTTGCAAAAACGTCTATTTTCCTTCTAAGTGCGTCCGTCTAACTTGCTTATCGTCTAATTTCTCAAACGCCCCTCTTATCAAGAAAAATTTTGTACTTTTATTACACTAGTAAGAAAGTAGAATGATCGCCTATAGGGTAACAAGGAGTTAACACTCAAATTGAGTCAACCATTCGGACAGTTTTCCTGTTTTTATTAGTTTGCTACTGCGAAGGGTTAGAAATCGAAATCTTCAATACGTTTTTGCAGTATTGAAATTTTATTATGATTCAATTCATAAAGGAGACTCCCTACAGCTTACTGAACAACATTCCACCTCGAAAGGTAATTGTCGTTTTTTTTAGAAAATGTATGTTGTGTATTTGAATTTCTCTGCATCCCTCTTTGAAACCTCTATTTCAAATTTCGAATTCATCTGTATCCATCTTTGAAACCCCCGTTTTTGTTTACACGGGTCTCGTATTGCTGAAGCTAACTCTACTTTAAACAATTAAAAGAATAAAAGAATAAAAGAATAAAAGTGAATTAGTCTGAAGTTGAAACATTAAAAGGTGAAGAGAGCGTTCTCTCCGCCGGAGAGAATAAAATAGTGAAGGTCATAAATATATGACCTGTTAAAAGGTTGAGTGATAATTTTGGTAATACTAAATAAGATGAAATCGCATCATTCCTCTAAGCAGGAAAAATTTAAATTGAACAAATTAACTGATTATCTAACTAACTGCATCCTTTCTCCCCCCTTTTGGGGAACAAAATTAAATTTAAAGCATCGATAGTGTAATTGAAATAAGCTGGCGATAACTGATAAAATTTTGGGTAGTAACGATTAAGGGTATTACAAATTCGCTGGTTTAAAACGTATGATATCCAATATCTCTCGGATATTGTAAGTTAAAATCATACTTAAGAAAATTGCTGACTCAAGGTAGTGTATGACTATGGTATGGCACTACAACTAAATTTAACTATTAGTCGGCGATAAAGATTACGAATTAACTGATCCGAAGGAATATGTGCTATAATGGCTCGAGAGAAAAAAAATTAACACTGATAAGCAAGGTGATTACAGTACGCTATCATTAACAGTTTATATAGCAGTTTATAAAGTTTTCAAATTCAGCGTTAAAGATTTCGCTGTAAAATTCCGTGTGGTCGTCGAAATTGTCCAGCGCCATTCTTAAAGATTTGTCACTTGATGATGAAGAAATTTGGTCTGGTGAAGAAGGGTCTGACTCAATCGTCACTATTTTCAAAGGAGTCTCTCTGTTGTTAGTGTCTCGTTTTCCGTTGTCGTAGTTGTCCAGTATAATCGGATTTGATGCCGAACCAGAGGTCACTTCTTGAGGTAAATCTACAACATCTATGAAGTATCTCTTACCATAGAACTTTGGCGGACCTACATTTCTACTAGACCGACGAATAATAGGTGGATCGTTACCAGGTTTAGTTGGGGGTCTGCCGTTGGAGTGGCCTCATCGATTGAATCCAATATCTCGTATACTGGGAAGTCCATAGTAGCTTTCTCCTCCATTGGTGAGGTCGAATTGTTCTTAGTATCTAGTAATTGGGCAGTCGCAGAAGACTCCGCCGGAGTGGTTGAAATTGGACACTGGGAAGTAGTATTCGTCTCTGCTGGGACAATACTGATTAGGCACTTCGTTGATGTTTCGTCATCAGAGATAAGGTTGTCTTCTCTAATCCCAACCTTAATATTATTATTAGTTTCGTGAGGGTTAAGAGTGTTCTCGTCCCGATTTAAGTTTTTGAACGAGTCAGAAATAAATCGTTCCCTAGCTACGTCTCTACACGGAAAACCTCCAGCTATCCATTCGCAATCACTAGTATCAGAAATATCCGAGGGAATTATCATAGATTTGTTCGAGGCAAGGTAACATGGATGAGTTGTCCTCTTCTTTGATTGGAGAGGTTGTCTTCGAGTAGATTTTGATGAGGGCCTCGACACTCGTGTCCTTGTATTATTGTCCGATGATCCTGATTCTAATTGGTGTCTGGTCCTGGGTTGTAGTATTCGGGGTTTGTTCTGTCTCCTTGGTTTCTCGAGTTTCTGACCTACTTCAACATTATGGTTAGGGAAATAAGGAAATGAACTGTTGCCTTTAAAAGATCTAATTTTCGAAGAGTTTGATTTAGGAATGG